AGGAGGAGGAGGAGGAGGGGGAGGAGGAGGAGGGAGATGCCTACCCTGCTGTTTAGCTGGTGGGGCCTTTGTGGGCTCATAGTGCTGCCAAGCTGGGGTCTCACTGCAGGACCTCTGCATTTTCTTACACGCAACTGACAAGGCAGGGAGATGACTGTGCAGGGAGTAAAGTGACTGTGTTATTTCCTTCTGTTCTAGAACTTTCTGAGACAGTTCTTCAGGGATAATTCCAACTTTGCCAATGAATCTGGGCCAAGAGTCCCAGGAGACCAAGGAGGTAAAGGTAGGCTGTGGCAAGAGTGAGTCTAGGGCTGCACCTATGTGGACATTTACAGGCCGGGGGGCCTGTAAGTGTCGCCCCCTCCTGAGCCTTAATCGAGGACTTTTAATATGTGCTTCCAATAAGAGGCACGTTTTCAGATCGAGGAAGGAGAGGTTCTGAGAGGTGTCCATGTGGGTTTCCTGGTTCTTGGAGCAGGCTAGGTTTCTGGGTTGCTTGTGGGTGCTGGACATGTTCAAGCTGTAAGTAGGAGTCAGCCAGGATCTCTGCACATACCCAGGGACTAGGCCCTCATACAGTTGCCCCAACTTCTCACCCAGATGTTCTTGCAGGCATTTCCCTAGATGCTTCTTGTCTAGATTCCTAGAAAAATGACTTCCTGAGTCACTTTTCTTAGGTCCCTTGAAGTTATTTTCTGAATACTTGTTATCATCCTGAGCTTTCTGGGAGGTGACTACTAAATTCTGCAGTTGATCTTCTGGCTCATGCTGTAGAGCTTCTCTTGGGTTTTTTAGTTGCAAGGTAATTGAGTTTTTCTTTAAAAGGCTGTCAGAGTACCAGGATTTTGTCTCTGGCACAGCTTTGCTGACTTCACAGGCTGGTGCTAAGGGCTGTGTGAGAACCTGCTTCTCCTGCACCTGGCTCTCAGAGTACTCATGAAAGGGGGCAGCTGACTTGGGGGTCTGGGAGGCCTGGCTGCCCTGAGGAAGGTAGAAAATGGGTGGGATAATGGCTTCCTGAGGTTTTTGGAGCACAGAGGCTAAAACCATCCTCCATTTCAGTAGCTTCTTCAAGGGCCTTTCCAGGCACTTATTTTCAAAGGGGTTGAAAAACTGAACCCTCATCTGGGATGTGGGAATCACTGCTGTACAGGACCTAATCCAAGATAGGGAAGAAAGTGGTGGGCTTGGGAGAGAGCATGGGATTTGGGCCTGAGTCTGGCCCTGAGGCAGAGATGGCATATTTTGTGTCAAAAGTTGGAGTTGGTTCACATGGTGGAGTAAGGTTTTAGTCTGAGAAAACTGTGGAGGTCCTCCAGCCTGAAATTGCAGCAGGAATTGAGTACGGACTTTATGAAATTTAATGCACTGAGGTCGTGAAGAGGAAGGCCTATTAGAGACCCAGGCAGTAACCAGGGACTCACTGTACAGACAGAATAGATTCCCAGCCAGCTGGCTGCATTGCTGGTCTAAACGGCCCCACAAGACCATGCAGTAAGAGAGCCGCTGAGCACCGAGAAGCCACTCTACTTGTCCTTTTGTCTTCCACAAGGGCTGAGCTATGGTGCCTTGCTTGTTGTCGGTGACCTGAGCACGATCCTCAGAAGATCGAGGGAGTCTCCTAGACTCACCAGTTATTATTTCCACTCTTGCAGCAAGCACCATCAGCAGAAGGCTGTTCGCATTGGATTTGATGAAACAGTGGCACTCAGCCTTTCCGCGCCAACAGCTTTGGTTTCCCCAGAACAAAGTGTCTGGTGCGTGGTATGAATAACATCCTTGCTGGAGTTTGTCATGTGCCCAGGTGGAGAAAAAAGAGGC